TAATATAATCAACAACTTTGATCTGCCTTATCACACTTGCAAATTAAAAATGGATTTAAAACTTTACAAGTTCTTCCAAACTCCAAAACGCTGGAAATGCCATTTCAGTGTACGAAAATTTAAAAAAAATTTTGGGTAGCAAACCTTCCTGATTTCGAGTCGGTAATCTATGCACAGAAATTCTTAATTTTGTAACAGCCAGGCGGTGTTTAACATTTTGCTGAAGTCTTTTAGTTTTCCATTTTCTTTCCGTTGTTTTTTTTAAATAATTCTTAAACTCTTCATTAATTTAAGTGTATTTTTCAAATAATGGCAAAAATTTCCCTGAGTGTCATGAGGGACTGTAAAGTACCTAAGATTTCCAGCATTCCAATTTGCACATTTTCAGTAAATAATCCGTACAAATTGCTGGTTGAAGATTAATATATGCATACACACTCCAGCAGCATCGCCAGGCAGATATAAAAACTTGCATCCTCAATGTGTAGCCAGCATTTAACGACATGCAAAGAAATTTGTACATGTCCAACTAATGGTATCCTTTCTAATTCAGCATAAATTGCTATATTTGTAAAATCGGGAAATCGACAGCTGAATCGGGTGTTGGGGCATCAATTTCCCGTTTGTAGTTTAAAATAACTGAAAAATGCAAATTTCGAAGGCCATTTTACAACATTTCGCAACGAAACCTATATCAAAATTTAGTCTATACTGCAAATGGTCCATTGCGTATTCATTTTCCGGATAGCAAATACCTTTGTGGCTTCGTAAGCGATGAAATATTCGGAATTTTTTTTCGTCATTCCGAAATTTCTGGGCTACACCCTTCAACTATACATGCTCGCAACGGCCATGCCCCCCCCGGTCGCCATTACTTCTGGAGAATGCCCCCTCCCCCTCCAACTTTTTGATGCTTTCTACGCTCCTGCCGGGAAAAACGTTTTCCTATATGGCATATGAACACAACTTTCCCGCTTGGTGGGATAACTTTCTGTCGTGCCAGAAACTTTTCAATTCAATTGATGTTCAATGCTACGTCATGACACTAGATGACGGTAGATGACACTAGATGACAGTAGATGACGGTAGATGACACTAGATGACGGTAGATGACACTAGATGACACTAGATGACGGTAGATGACAGTAGATGACGGTAGATGACACTAGATGACAGTAGATGACAGTAGATGACGGTAGATGACAGTAGATGACAGTAGATGACAGTAGATGACGGTAGATGACAGTAGATGACAGTAGATGACAGTAGATGACAGTAGATGACACTAGATGACGGTAGATGACACTAGATGACACTAGATGACGGTGGATTACACTAGATGACGGTAGATGACACTAGATGACGGTAGATGACACTAGATGACACTAGATGACACTAGATGACGGTAGATGACAGTAGATGACGGTAGATGACGGTAGATGACACTAGATGACGGTAGATAACGGTAGATGACACTAGATGACGGTAGATTACGGTAGATGACAGTAGATGACAGTAGATGACACTAGATGACGGTAGATGACGGTAGATGACACTAGATGACGGTAGATGACAGTAGATGACAGTAGATGACAGTAGATGACACTAGATGACAGTAGATGACACTAGATGACGGTAGATGACAGTAGATGACACTAGATGACACTAGATGACACTAGATGACAGTAGATGACACTAGATGACGGTAGATGACACTAGATGACACTAGATGACGGTGGATGACACTAGATGACGGTAGATGACACTAGATGACGGTAGATGACGGTATATGACACTAGATGACGGTAGATGACACTAGATGACACTAGATGACAGTAGATGACGGTAGATGACAGCAGATGACAGTAGATGACAGTAGATGACGGTAGATGACAGTAGATGACAGTAGATGACACTAGATGACAGTAGATGACAGTAGATGACTGTAGATCACACTAGATGACTGTAGATCACATTAGATGACGGTAGATGACACTAGATGACGGTAGATGACGGTAGATGACGGTAGATGACGGTAGATGACACTAGATGACGGTAGATGACACTAGATGACACTACATGACGGTAGATGACACTAGATGACAGTAGATGACTGTAGATGACAGTAGATGACGGTAGATGACAGTAGATGACAGTAGATGACACTAGATGACGGTAGATGACACTAGATGACAGTAGATAACAGTAGATGACACTAGATGACGGGAGATGACACTAGATGACACTAGATGACGGTGGATTACACTAGATGACGGTAGATGACACTAGATGACGGTAGATGACGGTATATGACACTAGATGACGGTAGATGACACTAGATGACGGTGGATTACACTAGATGACGGTATATGACACTAGATGACGGTAGATGACACTAGATGACGGTGGATTACACTAGATGACGGTAGATGACACTAGATGACGGTATATGACACTAGATGACGGTAGATGACACTAGATGCCACTACATGACGGTAGATGACGGTAGATGACAGTAGATGACAGTAGATGACTGTAGATGACAGTAGATGACGGTAGATGACGGTAGATGACACTAGATGACGGTAGATGACGGTATATGACACTAGATGACGGTAGATGACACTAGATGACACTACATGACGGTAGTTGACGGTAGATGACAGTAGATGACTGTAGATGACGGTAGATGACAGTAGATGACAGTAGATGACACTAGATGACGGTAGATGACAGTAGATGACAGTAGATGACACTAGATGACGGTAGATGACA